CCCCCATGCCCGCTTGCAGCCTCTGCACCCCCAGCCCTGCCGGTGCCCCTCACTTCCAAACCACAGCGCCCCCCGCCCAGACCTCAGCTCCCCGCTCCCCAGCCCTGCCGGTGCCCCTCACTTCCAACCCACAGCCCCCCCCGCCCAGACCTCAGCTCCCCGCTCCCCAGCCCTGCCGGGGCCCTGGCTGGGTGGGGGGGGACGCGGTCACTCAATTGTTACTGAAGGAGGCAGCAGCTGCTGCTCAAGCAAGCCCAGCTTTCCCCGGGGCTGGGAGCCCTTGGGGAGCCAATGAGCCATCTGGAGCCGTGACTCGGCCCACTCCTGTGGGGTGGATCCGCTGCCTTTAGACACCCCCCCTTCTGAGTTCCAGCATCCCAGCCCCGGTCCGGGACAGGCCCTCTGGAACGCCCTGGAAACAAAACTGGGGTCTTTAGAGCGTGAGATTCCCCCTGTGGATCTGGCTGCTGCCTCTGCTCCAGATTGGTCCCGCTCGCCTGTTCTTCGCTGGCCACGTCGATAGACGCGATTGCCTCAGTGACAGGGAGCCCGATCGACCGCGAAGCCACTCTAGAACACGTGTCGGTTAACGACTGGCTTCATCGGCCACACTCTAAAAGGACGGGGCTCTAGAATCACACTTCTCTAGAACGCACAAATGCTATACCGGCTGGTTTTGGCCTAGTGGTGACTGCCCTTCCTCTAGAATGGCTGAGCTATGGAATAGCGCGGAGGCCTCCAAATAATCCCGAACAACAGCACCAATTTTCTGAATTAACTGGATACAAACTCTAGGTGGTTCTAGAGTATCTAGATGGACTGTAGCTTGTCCTGGAGTATCCCTTTTAGGCTCATTGGAGACTGGCAGAGGCCCCTCCGGGAGATCCAGGTGTCTGGCACTCCTCTGTTCTCAGCAGACACTTTTCTAGAACAGTCAAGTTCTTGAGCTCTGCTCTAGAAAAAGGAGTCATGCAGCGGTTCTAGAATATTGTCCTGTCCAGGGCTCTGGGAGGGCGCAGTTCCAGATCAGCGGGGGGGGGGGGTTCTCAAGTGACTTGCTTCTAGAACAGCTGTGATTGGAGATGGCCAGGTTTCTAGAATGTCAGGGATCTAGAAAGGCATTTCCTACAGCAGCCATGTTCCTGGGTTCTCTTCCCCTCCACTTCTGGCTGGTGTCTCCTGTCCGCCACAGGGCAGTGCTGTTCCAGAGGGTGGTGACTCTAGACCCTTTCTCTTCGTGCCTGCAGAAAGCCGGAGAAAGGGATCCAGTACCTGATCGAGAGAGGCTTCCTCTCGGACACGCCAGTCGGGGTGGCTCACTTCATCCTGGAGCGCAAGGGCCTGAGCCGGCAGATGATCGGCGAGTTCCTCGGCAACCGGCAGAAGCAGTTCAACCGCGATGTTCTCGAGTAAGGGGCAAGGGGGGCCTCGGAGCAAAGGCAGCGAGCACAGGCTGATCTGCAGCGTGGACTCTAGGCTGCCTGTTCTCGCGTAGGGGGCTTGCGCTGTCTGGATGGGGAGCGTTGCAGGGCAGCCTCTGGGCTCCTGACCCACCTCCTTGAGCCTGGGCTCTGGGTTCGGGCCTCGTCTTCAGGCCGCGGGAGCGGGCGGGGGCTTCCGGAGGGGACCACGCACTGACCCGCCTCCCCTCCGGCTGCTCTCCAGCTGCGTGGTGGACGAGATGGATTTCTCCAACATGGACCTGGACGACGCGCTGCGCAAGTTCCAGTCCCACATCCGGGTTCAGGGGGAGGCGCAGAAGGTCGAGCGTCTCATCGAGGCCTTCAGGTCAGTTTGAGAGCCTTCCCAGCGCGTGGGAGGGGAGGGCTGGTCCTGTAGCTGGGCTGCCCAGCGCTCGAGACCGGGGCAGGCACCTCCCAAAGCGGCTGGCGCTCTAGAGCACCGGTGCCTTTAATGGGCTTGGTGAAAGCCTGGGCTGTTCTGGCTCACGGTTGGCCTTGCTGGCCACTCCAGGACCACGTGGCCTTCTGAGCTCCACTGATGGTAGGGGCCAGGGTTGTGGCCATAGTCCACGTTCTAGATCACCGGTGACATCATTCCAGGACATGTCTGCTGCTCTAGAACAGGGTCTGCGCCAATGTCAATCCAGAGCACTCAAGTTCCCTAGTAGATCAATCACACTGAAAACGTCCTAGGCCGTGTCCAGAGCACTACAGTGTACAGGGCAGTGACTTAGCTGCAGAAGGTAGCTGGCGTTCTAGACTATGTGCGTGCTCCGGTACCAGCACGCTAGAGCGCGACAGCTGGGGCGGTGCTCTAGAACACCACCTGCCTTCCCAGCAGGCGTTCTAGACATGGTGATCGCAGAGTGTCTGCGCATCCCTGGTCACTCCAAAAATCAAATTCATGTGATTAAAAAAAGAACGGCGACTCATCTCTGTTTTCATCACCCGAGACCGGCCCCGAGTACCAGTCTCCATTGACTACAAATATTGCTGGATGTTTTCTTACATTCTGAAACATAGTGACAGGGTTCGCTTGAGAGTCATATTTCTGATTGTGAATATTTGCACTGTAAAAACAGATAAATGGGTTGTCCCTGCGAAAGCTCACGATCCCATCTGCCAACTAACTCAGCTACCCCTCTGAAGTCTTTTTTCAGTTCACCACCTACCATTGCCAGGGGGCGTGTCTTTATCATGCAAGTGCAATTCATGAATGTCGTTTGACTTCTTTTACACAACTGTGCTCAAAAACTGAAAAGGATGGGAAAAGGCAGCTCCTACAAGTCCACTCAGTCCTACTTCTTGTTCAGCCAGTGGCTCAGACAAACAAGTGCATTTTCCCTCCTAGGCAATAATGCTGTCCACTTCTTATGTACAATGGCACCCACACGTGAGAACATGCGTTTGCTTGGCGTGGCTGCAGCCGGCGGGACACAATATTTCTGTACCAGTTACGCTCAATGTTCATACGCCTCTTCCTGCTTTAACTTGGACTTTGCCCCCTTTCAAGTTTATCTGGCTGTACAGTGCAAATATTTGAAATAAAATACAATCCGACAAAGTGAGCCCTGTGCGCTTTGCATGCTGCGTTGTAACTAACGCGCGGAAAAACACGCAGAGATCTGGGTGATCAACTGAAATCGACATTCAGGAATCGCGATTCATCCTTGTCAGCATTTGCCAGCCCTAGACGAGTGGCCATCTGACGCAAAGGCTATCCCACTCTAGAACGCCCGGCCAGGGCGAGCTCTGTTCTGGAGCTTGCTAGAAACTGGTGCTTACTGAGGGTGATCTAGAAGGCATCTGGCGTGGGTGGCGATCTAGAACGCAGGAGTCCCCCTGCAACGCAGCCTGTGGCAGCAGTGTCAACGGGCACCGTTTTGTGCCCGAGAACCCAGGCTGTGTGGATTATGTTCTAGACTTATCTAGAAGGTTCTAGGCTGTGCAGCAGGGGAGGGGAGGGAGGAGCCACCCCCCACCGCTGTCCTTCACCCTCTGATCCCCGGCACAGCCAGCGCTACTGCGTCTGCAACGCCCCGCTCGTGCGCCAGTTCCGGAACCCGGACACCATCTTCATCCTGGCCTTCGCCATCATCCTCCTCAACACCGACATGTACAGCCCCAGCGTCAAGCCAGAGCGGAAGATGAAACTCGAAGATTTCATCAAGAACCTTAGAGGTAAGCGGCGGTGGAGGGGTGCTTAGGAACCCGTCGTTCCTTCCCCCGGGACCAGGAAATAGCCTGTCTCTAGGAAAGCAGCTAGATCCAGAACAACCGCCTGAAGGGGAACTGTGAGCACAGCCACTCTGGAACCTCTAGAACGTCTCCTGAACTCCATCGATATCCAGAGCCTCAGATGGGGGGCCACACTGCATGATGTGGCGAGATGGGATCTGGAACAGACGTTGGGTTCCAGAGATGGGCTCAAAAGGAGGGGGGGCATTCTGCTCCAGAATGAACAGGGCACAGTCAGGAGCCATGCAGGAGGGTCCAGAGTCTCGCGTCCCGGATACTTTGCTCTAGAATAAACAGGGATCAAGAACAGCTGTGATCTACACCAAGGGGAGGGGTAGAGCCACAGGGTCCGGATAGCTGATCTAGAACAGGCAGGGATCTAGAAGAGTTGTGATCCGTAGCAGAAGCCAGAGCCCCAGGGCCCAGCTTTTTCTGCGCTCTGAAAGTCTGGGCTCTAGAACACCCACGCTCTGTCCCTGAAGCTGCAGCCTCTGTTCTAGACTTGTCGGGGTTCTGGGGCAGGGGGAGCTCGGACGGTGTCGCCCCCGACCCATCGCCAGGTCTGTCTGTCCATCTCCCCCCCAGGGGTGGATAACGGGGAAGACATCCCCCGTGACCTCCTGGTGGGGATCTATCACCGCATCCAGAGCCGAGAGCTGCGGACCAACGACGACCACGTCTCCCAGGTCCAGACTGTCGAGCGCATGATTGTGGGGAAAAAGCCGGTGAGTGGGCCAGGGGGTGGAGCCTCCTGGCCATGGGGGTGGGCTTCCTGCGACAGGGAGAGCCCTGGGAAGGGAGCTGTGGGGGTGGGTGTGGGTGTGTCGGGGCGGGGCTGCCTGCGACAGGGAGAGCCCTGGGAAGGGAGCTGTGGGGGTGGGTGTGGGTGTGTCGGGGCGGGGCTGGACCGAGATGTTAAGGAGGGGCTTGGCTGGATTGAGGCGGGACCTCAGGAATGGGAGGGGCCCCTGAGGATGTGCAGGGGAGGAGCTGGATGGGGAAGGGGGAGGGGTTTCTCATGGGAGGGGGAGGGGCCTTGGGAGACTGGGAGGGGCTTTCTGGGGTGGGACTTTTGAGCAGGCTCCACCCCCCCCATTCCATGCCAGGTGCTGTCCCTGCCCCC